TGCTGAAAAGCAAAGCGTTTCTGAGGGTCCCCAGGATAAGTTCTTCGCACTTCCTCAAAGCCAGACCCCTCGCTGGGCTCGGCTGCACTTGGAAAAAAAGCGAACACTCGACTCTATTGTCAGGCCTCGGCCCCCGGAGCGGACACTGATACACACCTATCCCATCCCACCCCGCACGCAAAGGGCGCCTCTTCTAAGAGGCGGGGGTCCTAATCGAGCCGTAGACTCAGAAAAAGGACCCCCTTGAGCAGCTGCTGAGCAGGGATCCACGCGGGCACCCCAGCGCGAGTACTGGGACAGCCCCCCCTCTGCTCGGCTCTCAACCAGTAGCTCCAAGGCACAACTGTTAAAAGTTTACTTTGCAGCTATGAGGCTCTTGGGACACCGGCTTTCTGCCAAGGCTCGAGACCGGAGGAAGGCAGAGTGGAAGCGCCCTAGGCTCCCGGAGGCGGCCGGGCCACACACGCTAGACCCTGGGTCCCCCGAGTTTGGCCATAATCGGCCCTCTAAGGCGAGCCCCACTTCTGCCCCGCAGCGAAGCCAGCTGCCTCTCCTTGGAGGGTTGGGGCGACCTCGAAGCCCCGCAGGGAGGGAAGGGGCGCCTCTGGGTGAAGTTTCCAACAGAAGCCAACAAACGGCGCTGTTGCCGCGCCCTGGGTCCTGGAAGCCCCAGGCCCAGCCCCAGTCCGAGAGAGCTGGAGATCTCTTGGGAGGGCGGGGAGAAGGGGGAGGGGGTGCTTGGCCGGGTTCCCAGCCCGCCGTCAGGGGCTCTGCATGCCGCCCACGGGCTCCCGGAGGCCCCAAGGGCGAGAGAGCTGCTCAACACGCTCTCTTCTCCGGCAGAGGGTGGAAAGGACTGGCCCTGAACCCCACTGTGTCCCTCTGCTTTCCTCACTGGGTGCAGGTTGCGTGTCGGAGACACCGGTTCGGGCTCCGCTGGCAGTCTTGCCTCCCCGCAGGCCCCGCCTGAACGGAAGACCCTCGGGCCATAGTACCTGCCGCGACACTTCTCCCGACCCCCAGCGAAGGTCGCGCCTCTCGGCTGGTGACTGCGCCGGTACTGCTAGTGTGCTAAGAGAACGGGTTTCCTTCCAGCCTTGCCCCCAGTTCCCCACGCCCATAATGGTAACCTCGCTTGATTATTGAAATGGTACTTTGGGCTGAGAACGTTTCCTCGGAAATGTTTCGAAGATAATTCGGTGTGACTCTTACTTGGGGCTGTGCAGACCACTCGAGCTAACGGGCACAGAGAGCGGTTTAATCACGGCCTCCAAGGGAAGCCAGGAGTGTGGGAGAGGGTGTCTGATCCTTGCAAGACTGCCGTAAATCTGGCAGAAGGACGTGATGTGAAAATGAGCTTACCTAAGCCGCGGGGTAGGTGTGATCAAGTGACAAACAGCTGGGAGCAGTGACTAGTTCCCCGGATAATCTGCTGCCGGGAGGAGCGCAGGCCCCGCACTGCATCCCTAGCCTAGGGAAATACGCAGCCCAGGCGCTGTCACCACAACGGCTTACTTGGGTCCTAAAACTTGGAAAGAATCCTGACATCTGTCAGGCTACTGGACGCCAGGCCGCGCGTCGGTTGGGTAGTTTCCTAAAACGCGCTTCACTTAGCAACAGCCTCAGAGGCCCAGAGAACCCGAGAGGGCATCTGGAGAAGGCGGCAGGAGGGCAGGGCTACTAAACATTGACTTCTTTGGGGGAAGGTGGGTTTGCCTAGGAAATTTTGACTGTGTCAGCCAGTTTGGCAAGAAAACAGGTGCAGGTGGGGATTGGCAAATCATTCCGTTTTCTGAGACTTGCCTTCCAGTCCGTGTAAGCTGAAGTATACATACCCGTGCCCGCGTGCAGACACACACACACACACACACACACACACGACTCGTATACATAACCATCCCACATAGTTTACTTTACAACCCTAAATCCGTACACCCATTTCAAATGATCACAGCCCTTGACCGTATACGTTTGCTTCCCCCCCCCCCAGTCCAGATGAGCAAGAGAACGTAGACCAGGCGGAATCCAAACTTTAGGGGCGTGTTTTGAGACCCCAAACTTCCGGGAGGCGTTGCTGCTGGGAGCCGGGATTCTGGTGCCAGCGGTCCGCCGGCCCCAGGGCGGGCTGGCCTTCTCCGCGTCCCCCAAGCCACAACGGCTTACTTTAAAATTTGTGCAAGAAAGGGGGACATTCCTGGCGTGCAGCCTTCCCAGAATCGCCGGGTCTTGCATTAGCACTAAGGGGCTAAAAACCTAGGTTTGGTTTTTTGTTTCCCACACTTAGGATTTACGCCTTCCTTTTGGTTCCCCACCTTTCCACGAGGCTAGGGGTTTGGCGGGCCACACCGTGCGAACACCTTATTTCAGTCTCTGCCACCTCTACCCCCCGGCTTCTCCTTCCCACCCGTCGCCCCGGGAGTTCCAAACGCTGTGCCACTCGCCTGGGCTGGCGGCGGCGGCAGTCGGGGCTCCCTCTCCCCGCAGCCCGGGTTCCCGCGCCGCTAGTCTGGCAGACAACCCGACAGGCGGGCGATGTCGCGCTCTGAGTCTCGCGCCTTGAGGCTCTAGTCAGGAAGGCTGTGGAACAAAAAAGAAGGACGGAATCCGTCAGCAGAGCCTTTTCCCCGGGGAGGCCGCGCGGCTGCGCAGCGAGAGCAGCGCTCAGTGGTCCTGGCAGGTGCGCGGCCAGTGGAGGGGGCCCTGCGGTTCGCCCGGAGGACGGCCTCGGCTCCTCTCCGGCCACCGTCCCCCCCTCCAAGAAACTTTTCTTTCACTTGGAGAGGCTCTGTGTTGCCATGAAAACGGATTTTCCAAGGGGCCCGACCCTCCCCCTCAGGGGCATCGGACTGGAAAAACCGAAATGGCCAGAGAGCAGAGACAAAAAGGGGCCGCTAAGCGGGGGCCCGGAGAAGAGAGCCGAAGCCGGTTCACCCCCTCCGCTCCCCACACACGCCTCGTCGCACCACCGCAGGGGAGCGCCTCCGCCCGGCCGGGGCAGCGGGCGTCTGACTGCTCGCCCTCCCGCAAACCACCGGGAGCCTCGCCGCCCCCGTGCGCTCCGCGGTCCCGAAGCCTGTCTCCCGGGCCCGGATCCCTGACCCCCGCTCTGTACTGGGCGCGCTGGCCCGGGGCTTCCCAGCGGAGGGTCCAGCTAGACAGGGGCCGATTCCTGGGAGGGCTTCTCGGAGCCGCAGCCCGGGGTACCTCCGCTGCGCCCTGAGTCCCCAAGCCCGCCTGGGTAGCTGGCTGTGCCTAGTGTCCCTAACGCTGGCAGCAGAAGCGGTCAGAGGACCTCCGCGCAGACAGCGGGAAGCTTTGCAGGGTGGACCGGGGACCGGACGCCTCTCGTCACTGACAGGGCTGCAAAGTTGTTTTCTGAACCCCGTGGGCGCCCCCTGCCCCTCCCCCCCA